TTCAAGAGCTACTTCACAGAATTGTAGATACGTGCAGTAAAAAAAAACCGCCTGATTAATTGGGGAATAACTTAAAACAAGTGATTCATAACTCAGATGAGCATTGTGACTCACAACTGGGACTTGACATTGGTTAATCGACTACAACACTGCCACATTGCCTCTTGGGGTCTTTGCAGAGTGTTATCCATCTAGAAGGTAACTTTTTACACATGTAAAGTTAATATTGTACCTGGAATATGTAACATAGAACTTGGGTCTGTAATATGTAATGTTCACACTGTTCAGTTCACCATTTCTATCTTTACCCATGTACTGTTTAACTTAAGCTTAACACATCAAACATTTACACTACATTCAGTCATCAGGTGCACCAACTTAACCTATGCATAGTATGAACCCATCAAAAGAGGTCCATGTAATGCAGGCCGTGTGAACCTTTTGTGGACTAAGCCAGATCCACACTCACATAAGGTTAATTATCCCTTTTCTGGAAAACACTTCAAGATGCATTTTTGGGTTAGAGTTATGTCTAGCAAAAAGAAAAGGAACAGTCCACTGTACTCAACCTACCCCAAACTGTTTTACATATGCAAATTTCCCATGCACCTGTTGTCATTTACTGAAAAGATGTGATCAACCATGGTGCCCCTTCACCTCCCACTGTGCACTGAAGTCATGACGCCATATTCATCTTTACTTTCTCAGCATTGAAACGTAACTGACAGGTCTTTTTAGGCATCTTTGATTTTTGAGCTTTCATTTTCACTCCTCTTGACTTGATCATCCCTCCCTCTTGTTTTGAATAAAGTCTTTCTCCTGACATGCTACAATCTTTTAGTAAGAGTGATGACCCCTAGCTGACACAACCAGTGACTCAGGGCAGCACCCACAGCTCCGCACCGCCACATTTCTGACAACTGGCAGTGTCTTCAGACATTCAGATTAACTCTGTCGCAAGCTTTACTCTTTCTGAGGGCTACCTGTGTTGTGACTTGGTCCACGTCCTTTGTCTTCCTGCAACCTCCCAGCCCCAACCAGGTTCTGGACATGGTTCGTTCAAACGCCACACTGCCCAACTGGAATCTTCCAATCTGGTTTTTCCAGTATTTCCATTCGACCGTTCCTTTGTGGAGATGTTCAGGTCCCTGGCGAAAGTCTGGTGATAGCACCCCATTCTACAACAGACTCCAATGTACTTCCACTTGTTGACAGAGGATGTCAACAACTTCTTGTTTGTGTAAAAACCACACACCGCCAGAGACAAAATCATCGCTGACTCAGGCAAAGCATCCACCAAGGCTGCCTACCATGACAAAGATAAGGCTCTCCTTGAATCTGCCTTATCTAAGCTGGATAAAGCATCCCGCTTCTACCTAAGATGCATGGCTTTCCTGCTCCTCCTATCAGCGTATCTGGCTCTTGCCTGCAAGGAGAACTCTCTGGTGACTCCAGACTTTGCATCCCCCCCATACTCCACAGTTTGGATGAGGGACTCAACTTCACATTTGAGCAGTTAGCCTGTATTTCTTACTTGGCTACTACCACCCGGAGGGCCAACTCCCTGGAGGCAATGCTCATTCCCTACAAGTTTGCCAAGGCTCAGCTCCTCGACCTTCCACTTTTAGGGAAAGACCTTCACTGGCAAGTTCGTTGAAGTCCTTGAGGCCAAAGCTAAGTGTGCACTGTACCATCAAGAAAATTTTATTCCGCGAAACACCTACCTCAGCAACCCCAGCCACACCAGACTCACCAGCTCAAGCCACCATCAGACCATGTGTATTCCCATTACTCCTTTCAACCGCCACTACCACAACTGAGTCAGCGCTGAGCCCTGCACCACCCGGAAACAACTCAAGCCTCTAGGGGGCAAGGATATTCATCGTGCACTCCCCATTCATTTGTGGGACACCTGCAATGATTACAATGCTTCATGGCCTCCAATCCTGAACCCATCGGCAGCCATCTACAGCATTTCACACAGTTATGGCAGGAAATCACTTCGGACAGCTGGCTACTTTCAACTTTTGCCTTTGGCTACGCACTTAAGTTTACAAGACCTCAACTGTCCAAGGCAATATTGCGCTCAACTCAACAACCCCCACACAACAACGACAAATCCAGACATTGGAGAATGAGATAAATTCTTCTTGTTTGCTTCACAAACAAGCCATTGTTCCAGATTTTCCCAGCCAAGTGAAGGTTGACTTTCTGTCAACGTCCTGCCTCACCTCTAAGAAGGAACCCAACAAGTGGCGACCAATTATCAACCTCAAACCACTCAACAAGTTTATCCACCCCAAGAAGTTTTGGACACTCCAGACAAAAACCCATTCCTTCTTGTGCCGTCCTGGGCTTCGTCTGTTGACTTCCAGGACAATTACATGTACCTCCACATCCCTATCTGCGAGCAAGACTGCAAGTTCTACGCTTTGCATACAAGGGAAACACATACAAGTTTCTGGCTCTTCCGTTAGGACTATCAGTGTTGCCCGGAGTTTTTACTTGAATAGTGAAGACTCTGGCTGACCTCAGGACAAGGCCGTAACATCAACCTGCCTGACACATGACCTCACCACCCATCGCAGATTTATTAACCTAAAAAATTCCAGGCTAGTACCAACCGAACTGCTGACCTACCTCAGGGTGATCCTTGACCTCCACAGGATCATTATCCTGACTGATGAACACATTGCCAACTTTCACCAATGCATGTCTCACTTCCAGTCTACCCAGGCACCTCCGGCCCTTTCCTGGCTTCGTCTTCTAGGGTTGATGGCCATCACTGTGGACCTAGTACCATGAGGCATACTACGCAAGAGACTGCTTCAGCTCCACCTACTCTCCTACTACTGTCCCAAAACAGATCTAATCAGATCAGACCTCCCAGTCCCGCTGTCACAAGATGCTCGTCATCTTCTGTGATGGTGGCTCGAGGAGGACCACTTGACGGCCAGCCTCCCCTTCACCCGAACAAAACCCGATGTGGTGATAACACGTCATCACTCGGATGGGGAGCCTCCCTTCCCCCACACCAGACCTCAGGAGAGTGGAATGCCAACTTCCAGAAAATCCATGTCAACATGCTGGAACTCCAGGCAATCTTCAACGCTCTGCGTCATTTTCTTACTTACATCGAGGGACGAACTTGACAGCTGTGGCCTTCCTCAACCGTCAAGGTGCCACATGCTCTCTAAAGCTATGCATCCTTTCATGGGTGATAAAGTTCAACTAATTCCAGCTATTGGATTCTTGATGAAGAACCACACTCCATCCTTTGAACTGCCAGATATTCATTCCCTCTGTTGCTTCTTAAACGAGCGACAACTCGGAGAAACACTGGTGTCCGGTCTGCACACTTAAATGGTACCTGGTAAAAACCAAACACTTCAGGGGACCAGTCACCCAGCTGTTCATTACCACTACAAAACCTCACCACCCGGCGACAAGGGACACCGTTGCCCACTGGACAACCTCGGCCACAACGTTGCAAACCCAGACTAGCCAGCCCACTCTGCTGACGCCACCCAATACCACATCAGAGCCATGATGTCAGAGCTGCCCCTACGACTTGGTCTTATTTTTAGGGTGTTTCTATTGCAGTCACATGCAACGCTGCATGCTGGAAAGGCCCGTCTACCTTCACTACTTGCTGCACACAGCAAGACAATTCTGTCGGCTGTGCAGAAGTCAGACCTGCCTCAGACAAGACAGTGGACAAGGCATCCTGAAGACCTGATCATAGTGAGTGGTATTACACCTGCTGTTATACAAGGCTTGTCCATACGTCGTAGCCAACCTTGCTACTGCCTGCAACCGTGCCACTCTGCATATGTAATACTGTTTGGGGTAGGTTGAGTGCAGTGACCTCCCCCTCCCCACATGTACATGTATGGGACAAGGTCATTATAGAGAATACCTACTCCAAACAGTCCTCACCCACCCATCCTCCCCACTCTGGCTCCGACCTGAATCGCTTTAAAAAAGGACAAACATTCCAGCGTGACCACAGTGTATTGTGAGAAGTCAGAGAAAAATACACTTGATCAAGTCTTTTCAGCAAATAACTATAAGTGCATGGGAATTTCGCGCATGTAAAACTGTTTGGGGTGGTATATTCTCTAGTATATTCGTCCAACACACATGGGTGACCAAGAAATAACCACACAGGTACACACATACCTGTTTTACATGCAAAGTGTGGACATTCCTTTGTTCTCCTGTGGTTAAGGAAACTTGAGGAAAATGCTCCTTTTTCTCCAACCAGGATAACTTCTTCGAGCTGGATTTTTGATGACGACTTTCTAGACTGTTCCTCTTAATTTTGCCACACATAACCTTGCCTCTGAAACTCTTTTTCAGAGAGGGGGGAAACATTGTGTGGATGTGTGCGATGTCCACGCCATCGCACTATGTATGCCACGCCTGCACATGTAGGTAACATGAGCATGTATGTAAGGGGTTTCTTATACTGCTGCATGTCTGCAACTTAAGGCTACCTCATGCTTGCACCTGACTCTGAAGTCTTGGTGATGGATTGGGCCAGTGAGTACACTGGGTCGTATAAAAACTTAGCAAATTTTGCATATAAAGTAGCCAATTTATCCGCAAGTTTCTTTTGTTGACTTGACTCCACTCTTTTTGGGCTGTTGAAAGATATACCTAAGAATTGTGTAAAACACAAGCTTAAAGATCAGAAGCAACATGCCATGTTCTCATTTGATTAATCCTTATTTGTGGCATCAAAAGTTCATTGATAGGAATTAAGATACTATTTTCTCATTGGCTCCTTATTGGGTCAGTAACCTTATGCGGTTAGATTTCATATGAGTTGTATGCATGGTTTACTGAGCAAACTACATGTAACCATTCTGCCTACCTCACATGTAGGAAAGTAATACAAATGAAGTAAAGTCCACAATGTGACAGAATGAAACAGATAGAAGTGGCATTGCTATTGAACTTAAAAATGTTTAATTTACTTTTGTTTTGCTTGATAGACCAACTACCCAAAAAGATGCCAAGAGCGCCAAGTATAGCTGAACAGTCAGACTTCGGCGATGACATTGATAAGCAGTGCATATTTTGTGGAGAGGAAGATAAGAGCTTCAAGGATGAAGGATTAGACATGCATTACTGGAAGTACTGTCCTGTACTAAAAAGGTGTCATAGCTGTAAACAGGTACTAGTATACACGGGCCTCTGCCACACATTCAATCATGTACCTTGTCCTACCCTAAATGTATGCTAATGGACCCTAAATATATACCTAAAATTCTAAATATATCTGTACAAGATGTAACTGTATTTTCACCAATTTTGAGCAAATGAAAAAAAAAAGCAACTAATTCCATTTCTGCAGGAATTTCCTGTTGTGCAGTGTTTGAAATTGTTAACTGTATGCATAAAACCTGGATACAGTTACATACTGGGAGTCAGGTTTGCGTAGTGGTTCTTTCCTCGCCTTCCTCCTCAGTGGTCCAGGTTTGAATCATGGCTCGGTCTATGTGTGGATTGGGTTTCAGTTCCTACCTGATTCCGTTGGTTTTACCCAGAATTTTACTCTGGGGCTTTCCACCCACCTCTAACACTGTAACTGCTTTTCGTTGAATCCTCTAACAAAGTCCTCCAGGCTTGCCAGCTACAGAGCTTAGGGCCCTATTGAGGAAACATTGGTGTCATTACTGTAGCGGCAGCGCTTGCGCG